TTTCCCAATCCAGCAAAGGAGTCAGAAATGCACTCACTTTGTAAGATTTCTTTGCAACCTTCACCTTATGTATTATTTGTCAGTTTCTGTATTAGTCCATTTTCTGTTGCTTGTAACAGTACCTGACACTGGGTAATTTATAAGAAAATGAATATTTTTTCTTACAGTTCAAGAGGCTGGGAAGTTCAAGATCCAGGGGACACATCTGGTGAAGGCCCTTTTCTTGGTGGGAACTCTGCAGAGACCCATGGAGATGCAGGCAACCACATGGCTAGGGCTGAGCAAGAGCACTTTCATGTTCTATCCTTATAAAGCCACCAGTCCACAGCCTTGATAACCCATTAATTCACTAATCCATTCATGAAGGCAGGGTCCCTCATGATACAATCACCTCCTAAAGGCCCCAACTTTCAGCACTGCCACCTTGGGAATTAATCTTCCACATGGCTTTGAAGGGGACATTCAACCCATATCAGTTTCCCATAGTGATTTTCCCCCCCTTTTTTTTTCTGGCTGCTGGCTGGTAAGGGGATCCGAACCATGAACCTTGGTATTATCAACATTGCATTCTAACCAACTGAGCTAACCAGCCAGCCCTTTATTATATTATAACCAGCGCGCGGTTTATTCAACAAACAAATGTGTGTGGAGCACATATGTGCCAGGCACAATTTTAGGCACTGTTTATTGAGCAGTAAATAAGATAGATGAGGATCTGAAGATCCCATTCTCATGGAACTTTCATGACATGGGGAGGGGACATACAAAAAATAAGCACATAAGAAAATAATTTCCATTCACAGAATTAAAGTGACAAAATAGAAAGAAGGGAGTACATGTTAACTCTAAATTGGGTGGCAGGAAAAGCAGCTAATAAAAGTAGATATAAAGTCTTTTTAAAATAAAAATGTAGTAGGTAATGAAACTTTTTAAATAAAGAAATTTGGGAAGTATTTCAGTTTTAAATCAGTTTTGAAGGAAACAAGGAAGGAAAGCAGGAGGACGCTTGCTATAAAAAAGAGAAAAAGGCGCTGGGTTCTAATGGGGTTTCCTGGCAGGGAATTATGGCTAGCTCAGGGCATTCTTTTATGAGCCTTTTTGAGGATTTCAAATGCTTAAATATAACATGACTGGCTGTAATTAGATTTTTTTATAAAGTATATAAGAACATATATATATATGAAATTTTCCTTCCCATGGCCCCTTTGGTAAGGACTATACATATATTCGGATGCTGCTGCCACTATTTGTAATAGCTTGGGACCTTTGGATCTATCTTTCAGAATTTGCTTTCTACGCTGTTTATGAGCTACTAGCAAAATAATTTTATTTTAATTTTATTCTCTCTCCTATTTCTCCTTGCCCGCAAGCTTTACTGATCTCTTTCCTTCTTTTTCCTTTTCCTCAGAGAGTCCATGAAGACTAAGTAGTCTTAGTCTGGAGCTAAGAGAGTGGTGGTAGGAAAATAGTTTGGGTATCAGTCTGAATCAAATCAGGGGAGAGAACCACATAGCAATTTAGACAGGGAGAGTGTATGAATAATTATAATGTAAATTATGACAGAAGATTGGAGTAACAAGGGAATGCTAGTAAGAAATAAAGATAACCCTAAAGAATATAGGAATAGCACATGTAAGGAGCAGCCAGTACCTTTACGGTTACCCTAGAACCCAAGGAAGAGACCCTCCTGAGCATGGCTGTAGCTCACTAAATGAAAGAGAAGTCACTCTGGTGCACTGCCGGAGGAGCTTGCTGAGTTCTGACCTCTGGAACTTTCCAATAATCCACCCTCTAGGGAGATGGTGCAGCTGTTCATGGGAGGTGTCTCACCAGAGGCACTGGGCTCAAAACTGCCCAGGGTGGGGGAGTGCTGGGAGAACTGCTAGTCACTGGGTGGTGTTGGCCATCACACACCACAGGAGGTGGGCACAAGGCATCAGGAGCCTGCCGAGTGAGCACAACAGAACCTGAGAGAAAAACCCTTCTCTCCTGCATTGTCTCTTTAGTTCCCTTTCCTGACAAAGTTTAACGTCATGCCAGCTAGCAAAGGAAAAATATTTAAAGGGAACATATTCATTTTCACAGAGCAGGCATTTAAGGGTGAATCTGGACCTGGAATGCCATAAATTAATAATTGGCACAATTTGTAAGACAGAGTTTTATATGGCGCACTTAAGTAGTCAAATTAACATTTTTTTTTTTTTTTTTTTTTTTTTTTTTTTTTTTTTTTTTTTTTTTTTTTTTTTTTTTTTTTTTTTTTTTTGCTACCTGCCTGCTGTACCTAACATAAAGACTGATAACAGGCTTAATGGAAAGAAATGCTTCATCAAACATTCATGACATCATAGTTCCCAAAGAGAAAAAGGAGCAAAAATAAAACCATGTGTATGTACATGTGAGAGATCTACATCTAGACATACAGATACCAACACGGATATATAAATACAGATACCTTCATGGCACACAAGTATTGATATAAGAGTGCCAACACAGCTTTCATGGGAGAGCTGTCCTTGTTTCTGATATTGTACTCATTTTACTGTTTGGGTTTTCAAATGGCCTTAATATTTTAATTTTTTTAGTGAAACAGTGTTCATAGTTTAAGATAGTTTTTGTTGTTTTGGCTGTTTTATTTGTCTTAAAATTTCTCCTACTTGACAAAAAAAAGAAAGTTAGCAATCCTATGTCAATATCCCTTTCCTTTTTAAAAAGCTATATCAATGAAATTCAAATCTGGAAACCATTATAGCCAACTAAGAATTTGCAAATATAAATTGTGGCAAATTACCCTTTTATGAGTTGTATAAAAAGAAGTTTTGAATTTAGAAACTGAGAAATAGGGCCGGCCCGGTGGCGCACTGCTATAGTGCGCCGCTTGGGAGCGCGGCGGCGCTCCCGCCGAGGGTTCAGATCCCACATACAGACCGGCCGCTCACTGGCTGAGCGAGGTGCGGGCGCAACACCGAGGGTTGCGATCCTGTTGCCGGTCCCGGTCCGGTACGGGCACGACACTGAGGGTTGCGATCCGTTGCCGGTCACGAAAAAAGACAAAAAGGAAAAAAAAAAAAGAAACTGAGAAATACTTGTCACATAGGGTTGCGATCCGTTGCCGGTCACGAAAAAAGACAAAAAGGGAAAAAAAAAAAAAAGAAACTGAGAAATACTTGTCACGTTATGCTTGACAACAAGGACATACAGACTTATTAACAGAACTTCATATCTAGGCCATGTTCTTTACATTCACTGTCTCTGCATAAACTAATCAGCAATAGGTATTATTGTCACTGTTTTTCAGAGGACAGAAATCAGATGGAGTTAAATAATTTTTCAAAGGTTCTGTAGTTAGTAAATTGAAGAGGCAAGATTTAAATAGGAGTCTGACTGGCTCCAAAATGTTTCAGGATTTAAACGGATGTCTGACTGCCTCCAAAAACCTTCCAACATCTAGGGAAAGACAAAAACCAAAAGAAGGGTTACAAAATGGGATTTTGGGGGACTAGCCAGTTAGCTCAGTTGTTTATAACATGGTACTGATCAGGATTTAAACGGATGTCTGACTGCCTCCAAAAACCTTCCAACATCTAGGGAAAGACAAAACCGAAAGAAGGGTTACAAAATGGGATTTTGGGGGACTAGCCAGTTAGCTCAGTTGTTTATAACATGGTACTGATAACACCAAAGTCCAGGGTTCAATCCCTGTACCAGCCAGCTGCCAAGAAAAAAGAAAACGGGATTTTCAAAAAATGAAAAGATCCAAAAGATTATAAACATGTATTATATATATTTTTTCCCTAGAGAAAAGAAGTGTAAAAAGGAACTTCATAACTTGTTTTCAAATGTTAAGTAATATAATGTATGTAAACTCAGTAAGTAGTTTTTATCTCTACCAAAGCAAATATAAGTGCAGTAGATTATACAGAGTATACAATGTAAGTAGAAAAAGTGTTTAGATATTTTTAATATGTATTGTGTATCAGGAAGGAATGTGTTTGTTGCAGATTTGATGACAGTGGCTTAATCAAATAAGGATTTGTCTGTATCATGTAACAAGAAGTACAGATATGGATGGTTACTGAGATTGTTTCAGGATTAGGTCCAACCTTCCTGGGAGTCCCTTGGCCTTCCTCTCATAGCTACATAATTGCTGCTACAGTTTCAGCCATCACATCTCCATTCAAGCAAGAGGGGGAAAGCAGTGTGCCAACTACATGTGATTCCTTTCATCAGCTCTTCTGCAACATCCCAAACTGCCTGTGGCTTTGTTCTCATTAGCCAGTTCTGGGTCCTTCCCCAAAGTTGCAAGGGAATTTGAGAAAGCAGGAAATAACATTGTCATGATTGGCTTAGACCATGGGTCAGCCAAACTCTGGCCCCAGGACCAAATTCAGCCCACCCTTATTGTAAATAAAGTGTTACTGGAACTCAGCCCTACCCATTTATTTATTCATTGTCTATGGCTGCTTTCATGTGACAATGGCAATGTTGAGTAATTACAACAGAGACCATATGGCCTGCAAAGCCTAAAAATATTTACTATCTGGCCTTTTACAGAAAAAAATTTACTGACCCCTGGCTTAAGCCAATCATGTTCTGTTGACCATATGGGTACTTTGGGGATAAGTGGGCTTCCATTAAGCAAAGAAGAAAGGGGAGAAGAGATATTGTAAGGAACCAACGGTATACATCACAGGAGGTTACTTGGTCCAATTAATTACATATAAAACCCAAAAGTTATAATATATTTTCTGTCACAGAGAACATTGTCCTTATAATTTTCCTACTCCTTTATTTCCTCCTGAGCCAACCCAAACGACTTAAAAGGGCAGAAGTTTTACAAATGTACACTATCAAATGATTGACAGTGTTATGATATATCATGAATTCAGGAAGACAATCCCTAATTTTTAAATTTTTATACAGCATTATCTACGATACTGTCAGACTAAGTCTTAAATGTGTATTGTATTGATTGACACTTCCTTTTAAACTGTTTATTTTAGGTTCTTGCATACACTGAGGGACTTCATGGAAAATGGATGTTCAGCGAGATACGCGCTGTATTTTCAAGACGTTATCTTCTACAAAACACTGCTTTGGAAGTATTTATGGCAAACCGAAGTAAGCCCCCTTAAATATTTTATACAAAAATGTATTCGTGTTTTGATGTTATCTTCATGGTGTGATGCTGTCTTGATTTTTCCTACTCTATTTTTCTCTTTGATATGTCCTCGCTAAAACAAACAAAAATTCTTTTTTGAAAATAAGAATTTGTTCAAACATATTAACCCTAGGTTTATCATGGATGGGGTTATACAGAAAGCTAATTGTTTATGAAAATTCAGTACCCTTACAAATAAGTTATGATAGGCACTTGAAAATGATTTCTTAAGTTGATGGTTAACTCTCCTGTGATTTTCTAAATCTTGGTTTTTTCTTCTTACCACAGCCTCAGTTATGTTTAATTTCCCTGATCAAGCGACAGTAAAAAAAGTTGTCTATAGCTTGCCACGGGTTGGAGTAGGGACCAGCTATGGTTTGCCACAAGCCAGGTAATTATAACATGTTACAGATTATCTATGGTTTGTTAACATATTTAAACATATGAAATATGTTACATTACATACAGAAATGTAAATATGGTTAGACTATTATAATTATCTCAAGGACCAAGGAATTTTCTTTCCCTGCAGGTTATTTGTAGGGAAAGAAGTTGTAAAAACAACTATTTTGAGAATGACAGAATGGTTAGGGCGGAATTTTATTTAACACATATATAAATAAGTTAAAAAGTTGATTGCATATCACAGCTGGCATATAATTAAGACAATTTTTTTGCCTGTTAAAATCTTATAGGAAACATACCAAAAACCTTAAGATGTTTGTGATTAATTGCTGTGTAATAGCATATAAATTATGTTTTTATAAATGCTATGTACAAATGTTTCTTCATTAAAGTAATAAAACTCTTAGAGTTTATTAAGATTAATGGTCATTAATTATGGTGTAGTTTAACCATTTCCTAAATCTTTCATCTTGGTACTTTAGAAGAATCATTTTGAAATTTTGTTTTGTTAAAAGATACTAGTATAAGTAGAAAGCATAGTAATTTTATACATTGCTGATAACAATTACTCTTTTTTTGGCTCCAAGTAACTGAATACCTGACTAAAAGTGACTTTAAAAATAAGGGGTTTTTTTTAGTGTGTATGTGTTTGTTTTGGTTTTTTTAATATAAAAGTTAAAAATTTGGAGTTAAGATGTTGCAGGATTGGTTCAGAGGTTCAGTGATATCAGGACTCTCAGCTGGCCTCATGTTCACAAAATCACCACTACTGCTCCAGACACCACATCTTCACACAGCTGCATTAAATTAGGAAAAAGACACAAAGGATTTCTCTCTAAGTTTCTCTGTTTTAGGAAAGAATATATTTCTCAGAAGCCTCTGGCAATCTTTCGCTCAAGTCCCTTTGTCCAGAGTGGGGTGATCTTTCTACCCCTAAAATAATCACTGCCAAAGGGGAATGAGTTTACTGTCATTCCCTAGAATTTATGGAAAATCTACCTCTGGCTCCATGCCACCTCCTACCTGAACAAAAGAGGGTTTCTGCAGATGAGGAAGAAAGGAAGATTGGCTCTGAGTAAACAAACAATAGCGTCTACCACCTAGCCTGTTATGTCCCTGAGGATTGTTGTAGAGCACTGCATCGGTGGAACGGAAAACTAATCTTTGTCTGTCTTCCCTTAAGTAGGCTATATTTTACAGACATTTCAAAGATAGCAGCTGTGTTTTATTTACCTTTTTATCTACAGCACCTAGCACAGTGCCTAATTGCAGAGGTGCTTCTTATGTGCTATTCAACTGGCCTTACCTTGTATTGCAACTTGTCTATTCTCTCTAAGCTTACAGTATAAGACCAATTGCCTGACATGTATGCACATGCTCAGGATATTTGGTAGTCGAAAAACAAGATTAAGCTAAGACATTACTAGATAATGAAGCACTTATATAAAATACAAGTCAAAAAATGCATTTAATCTATCAAAGAAAATGAGGTTAGTTTTGCAAGACTTGCTCTTATTGAATCTAAGCTGACTCACAGCAATCAGTACTTCCTTTCCCAAGTGCTTAGAAAGTATTTGTTTAATCATCAATTCAAAAATTTTTCCAGAAATTGACATTAAGAACTCACAAATAGGTCTAACTTTTCCTTTTTAAGAATAATCTTCTACCTCCTGGCATCTTTCTCAATGACCATGATTCCTGAAAGATTACTAATAGGGGTTTCTGGATGACATGTGTCATTTCCTTCATTACTCTTGGACTTGTCTAGACCTGAATTCATTTAATACAACCAGAAACTCTTTTACTGTCTTTCTTACTTACTATATCATTGTCCTTTTAACCACATTTGGTCTCTTATTGACTTTTGGAAGATAATAGACTACTGACTCCAAAAGAACCATATGAATCTAAATGGTTGGTTCACTTAATTGCAATGTAATGAGGAAGGTCTTCAAAAATGTTAATACCTGTATGTGAATGGGTTGCTACAATTTATTAAGTTAATATTTTAAACATTTGGTTACAAACAGTTATTCTTAAAATTCAGATATGAATTTGAGATAGTATGGGATTGTTCCTATACTTCCTCCTTCCCTTACTTCAACTAACGTATTTTAGCTCCTCCTCTGTAAGTGATGATGCCTATTAAGATTCCATCTCAATAGACGCATTCGATAATAATCCATGAGTGATGGAAATAACCTTAAGGCTATAGTTCCCAAACTGAGCACCGAGCAGCCCTGAGATACCATAGTGACTCCTAGGGGTACTACAAGGCATTTCACAGTTTTTAGGGAAACCTAGCAACATGTGTCAGATACCACACAAACTATTAGCTAGAGTTAGTTCTAAGTTTCAACATTATATAGTACTTCATTCTTTTCAATGATTTCTTTGTGAAACTGGTGTTTGATGATTGTAGTGTTCAAAAACAAGAGCCATATGAAAAGTCAGTGTGGAGCAGGAAGTGAAGGTGGTAGGGTCAGACCTGCTTCCAAGGTTTGAGAAGCTGCGGTGTCAACATGTACATACATCCCATTAGTAACTGTGGTTATTTAAGGATGGAATACAAATATTATTTCTCTTTTCAGTTTGTGAGTACTATATTTTCAAATAACTACTAGTTGTTGAGGTGTTAAGTATTTATTGAGTTGTTTAGACCTAACTACATAATAAGCAGAACTGGTGGGTACTGCTCTTGACCAAGGAGCACCATGAAAAAATTAATGAGATACTAAATATGCCATGAATTGAAACAGGTTGGGAACATCTTTTGATCATTTTAGAAATCCAGTAGCTTTATCATACTTTTCTAAATGCAACCAAAAATTTGGAAGGTTTCAAAATTTGCACAAATTACCTTGATTTATTCCCTTAAGCTATTCTTATGTCCCTTCTTCTTCTGGACCCATGTATTTTTTCAAAGTTTCCAGTTGTGCTTTACATCGGTAGAGAGAGATATATTGTGTAGGTAGAGGCTGTGCACATGTGCACAATCTATGTGTACAGGCAAGTGTAAAATGTTCAGTGACAGCCATTACGTCAAATGCTTGCAAGCAGGTACTTGACTACCTACCTATCTAGCTTTTTAGCATGGAATATATTTGCTGTATTGTTTAAAAGCTACTTTGATTTATTTTGAGCATAGTTTTACCATTTTTGTTCTTGGTGGCTTGTAAAATACCCATTTGCAGCTGTATTATTACAAATAGGGTTGCTGTCAAATTGGTTTATCCTGAGTAATTAAATGTATCTTCTCTATAATAGAATTCTCTAACATTGCTAATTTCCAAAATTAAAATATACTTTTATAATTCACCTAAGAAGAATAAACCATAAATTATCTTAAATTGAATGATATTAAACCAACATATGAGTTAATATTGGATTTTTAAGACATAAGTTAAAAGAGACTATGTTTGTTATGTTATGCTTAATTGCTAGGAGGATATCATTGGCCACTCCTCGACAGCTTTATAAATCTTCCAATATGACTCAGCGCTGGCAAAGAAGGGAAATTTCAAACTTTGAATATTTGATGTTTCTTAATACCATAGCAGGTAAGACGTCTCATTCTTAATCTCATAATATGTTTATGTTCATCAAAATCATTGATGGTATGACTTGATATAATACATTTTCCTCTTTGGAATTCAAATACAGCATTAGAGTAAATATTGAAGTGCTCACATTAAATTTTATCAGAAACTGCACGAGCCTAATACCAAGGTTTTAGATGCATTTATTGTTGAAGAGGCTTTTCCTTGCTCTCCTTCTGCCAGTTCCTTTGCTGACAGCTTTGTCTGAAGGTTTATTAGAGTCAACAAACCATTGCCAGAGAATGTCTGGAAATAATAATGGGAAAATGTAATTTCACTACTTTGTCATTCTCAGCAATAGCAGCTAGACAGGAGAATAACAACAGGATTCTGCCTAGTACAGATGTCACCTGTATTATGGCATGATTGGGTTACAGCATCTTTTTTTCTTAAAATTTCAAATAATAATAAAAAATCAGATTACATTTTCTAAATGATGAGTAACTGCCATCAACCTCAGCAGTACCATGCTTGTAAATCAAAGGAGGGTAGTGGCTTTATTTTTCTGCTAAATCAGTGGTTGTCAGTGGTTAAACATGTCAATGAGATTTAAGTACCTCATTCTGTTTTCTTAAGTTAAGCTCCAAAAGCTTATTCAAGTTGAATTACAAAGAGTTTACTTCTATAAATTAGGCTCTACCAAAACTTCTACATAATCAGATGAATTTAAAATAACTACATGAATGACTGTGCTTACCTATGATTAATATTTTGTTATGAATTAGTGCTCACAATCATGAATTTAGAACAGTGTTCTCATAATAATTACTTTAAAAATAATTATGTAATATTACTCTTTTTAGATCTATCATATATAGATGTGAATGTGGATACTATAGGTATATATTAAATATGGGTGATATAGATCTGTATTAAATAGGCAAGAGAACTTGATTTGTCAAGAAGAAACAATAAAGCTATTTGAAATGTTGAAATGTTTTTGCATTTTAATCACTTAATACATTTATATATTTGATGGTACGTCAAAAAGTTCACGGGGAGATTTCTATTGCCTTTTAATTCTGTTTTTTTACAGACTTTTTGAAGTACACTTCTACATTCGTATATTTATTTATATAGTATACACACATGTATGTGTATATTAAAGAAACCTATTTATTCCCTCAAAGATAAAAGAAGCATGTTATAGTATTTAATTAGCACCTTATTTACATATATGGACAGAATGAACTTAAATATCTGAAATGTTAGGAACTTGGTTTCATTACTGTATTTAGGTAAACAACATGATGTAACAAAGAGCATAAGCTTCAACACCAAAGAGAAGGGGGATAGAATCCTAGATCTGCCAACTTTCTGTACTAGAAGAGCATAAGTTGAATTTCAAGTTTTAACTCTATCTTGTACTTCCAGTCTTTTCAGTAGCAATGTTTAATATTGTTTACATCTCTTGTAATAACTGATATGTTTGGTCTTAAATCATCTTACTATTGTTTTTAATGTTTTCTTGCTTTTCATATTGTTTTGTTCTTCTTTGGCTATAGGAATGATTTTTTGCCCACTTCTTTAGTTATTTAGAATATAGGCATCTTCTTGTTAATTCTCCTAGAGATATAATTAAAATTTCCTAAACTATATTTCTCTTGTTTTTGAACTCCAAAAGAATTAACTTTTTTTTATCACTTCTATGTACAATAAAAACTTTAACTCAATGTTATTCCTCATTCATCGCTTATCCTTGTAAATGCAAGTTACCAGCCAAGATTCAGATTATTATTAACTTCTTATTTTTTGGAGTCCATGTCTTTTTGCATATTAAGAAGGATTTCAAACTATTAAAATTTTCTTCTGGTTCATGCAGTATATTATTTTCAGCTACATGGATATTTACCTGATTTCTGAGGATAATGTTCTCTTTATGTTTTTCTGCAGTTGTTTTTTTCAGATTCCCTGTGTTAGGTTTTTCTATTACCTGTTCTTGGGAGCTCCATCAAGACTCAGTGCCTACCATTAGACGGGCTTCTGATTTTCTTTTGCATGTAAAACTGGGGGGCATGGTGATTTACCTCACTTCCACTTCAGTTTGCAGTCTAGCAGGGATTCATGTTAAACAGTTCTGCTATTCTAAGATGGGATTCTTTCTTCCCTCTAAATGGAACATTATTTAGTTCATTGTTTTATAAAGCTTTTCTAGTCTCCATCCCTTCCCACTGCACTTTACTCATATCCGGTAAATTAGTACAGTATCACCTCCAGCCACTCCCACAATATAGTACAGTATCACCTCCAGCCACCACCCACTTCATGCCTGTTGCTTTCTGGGAGTCTTTTTCTCTAACTCAGTAAAGAATGCTCTGTCTAAATCTGGATAGAGATAACATTGTGATTCCTTCTGAAAGTTGCTCCTGAGCAGTGTAGAGACTCATAAGCTTTCTTCTGGTTGGGACAGTCTGGGATTCTGAGCCAGAGTATGCATACCACAAGGGGAATTTGTAAGTGTTTTCCTATTCTTTTTTGAGTCACTGGGGCCTATTTTATTTAATAGAATCTGAATTTATTGGGTACTTCCTTTACAATTATTATAACTAAACATTAAAACCTGACTGTTGTAGGCAATGAGATAAAAAGAAGAATAAAATAGGGAATAGGAACTCAGAGCACTTACAATTTAGATACAGAAATAAGAGCATTTTAAGACCACTGATATTAAGTACTGAATAATTGCTATAAATAGTGAATGCTACAAAAGCTAAGCAGATGGGAAAAAATTTTAAGTGTCTTTGGGGAGGAAAAAACAGCAGAGCTTAACAAATTTCTGCCAGTTGGATATGTATGGTATGTTCAGTGGACATGAATATCATATCTTGGCTGAAGCAGAAAATAAAAGGAGGTCATATCAGAGATATAGGTAAGAACCAGATTATGAAGAGGCTTTTAGGAGTCAATATAGTTTTTGGAGTAGAGGGGAAAGTAATGTGTAATATGTAAACTGATAATTATGTATGGCACAAATCAGAATTGAGATAGCTTAAAGTTAAAAGAGCTGTGAGGAGAGTACTGCAGAAATCTAAATACAGTCAATTTGTTCATTGTTTTAGTAAATACTGAATATTTACTGTGTGCCACACAGTCTATTTTGCACTGAGACTACAGAAGCAAGTAAAGTATGGTTTCTGCCTTTGAAGAGATCAGAGTATAGTCAGGAAAACAGACACGTACACCAGCAATTCCAGTGAAAAGTGTTAAGTGTTATAGTGGGAGCATATACAAAGCCATTGAGGGTCACAGGTCTGGAAGCCATTACTTGTAAGAGATCAGGACAAGCTTCTCATAGGTGACATTTAACTTGGGAATTAAAATATGAGTAAGAATTAACCAGAAAGTAAGCAGAGGGAATTTCAAGAAGAAAGAAAATGTGGGGCTAAGATTTGAATGAGGGTAGTGGCAGCAGGTATGGAAAAGAGAGAGAGAAGTAAAAGATACTTTGTATGATGTCATTATACAAAAAGAATAAATCACTGTAATTTGCTCTAGTCCAATGGTCCTCGAAGTGTGTCACCTGGTGCCTTGTTAGAGATGCAAATTCTCAGATTCTTCCTCAGAAGTACTGAATCAGAAGCTCTGGTGGTGGGGCCTGGCAAGCTGCCTTTCAGCAAGCCCTGAAGTGGTTCTGATGCAAAAAGCTTGAGCACCATTGCTGTAGCCATTTAAAGTCTAATTATCAGAGCAAGAATTACATATAAAAACATTTAGAACACACAAGAAAGTATGCAGTTAAGTGCCATTAAATGTAATAAAATTTAAGATGGGGGGAATTAGTATGAGATAGTCTACTCAAGGAAAGCTTCATAGAAAAGATGGGCTTTAAATGAACTCTTCAAGGATTTTGTCAGACATAGATGATTATGCAGGCAAAATGAACCTTATAGATAGAGTGACAACTGGGAAAAGTTATGAATATAAATATCCTGAAATACTCTTCCTGGATATATTCCTATTAATTCTTCCCTTTCCATCATCTTGAAGTTTTAAGTGAGAGTACCAGTTTATACCAAGCACCAGTATTGAAGATTTGGACGATGGTTTTATAAAGAAGCTTCACTAATGCCAAGATTGAATACTCGTTATGTCAGCAATTAGAATTGCCTGTTTTCCTGAATTGTGGAGAATACTGTGCATCCATTTCTTTCTTCTTATTAAAATACCTTTCAGAGTTCTTTAAAAATAATAATTTTGTTATTAAATATTGTTTCATAGAAGTTTTAGGGGCACAGTTATTGTTCAGTAAATATTTAAGTTAGTTAATTGAAACTTAAGATTAAGATTCTAGAGAAGATGTTAGTATTCTTTTTGACAAATTGTATTTCATTTCCTAGGTAATCCAAAGCTAAGAAATGATTCGCTTATATCTTATCATAGTCTTTTAAAAACATTTCTTTAATTATTATTGATAAAATTCAAAAAAATAAACAGTTTTTTATTATTTCTTTATTTTATTACATTATTTCTTTTTGAAACAATTTTTAATTATTAATATCAACATTCTGAAAAAATAATAAATAATAGGCAAAGTTTATTGAGCAATTTACAGTGTTCCAAACCTTGTTCTAAGTGCTTTATATGTATTTATCCACTTATCCTCACAATAGTCCCAAGAGTTAGGTTCTGTTCTCATCACAGATGAGGAAATGAAGTACAAAGAAGTTAACTAATTTGCCCAAGTCACAGAGCTAGTAAGTGACAAAGTCAGGATTCAAACATGGTCTTCACTCACCTGCTCACCATGCTGCTCCACGATATTCATGGTGTCATGCAATTTCACCTCCAGTCATCAGGCAGTAAGTGACAAAGTCAGGATTCAAACATGGTCTTCACTCACCTGCTCACCATGCTGCTCCACCATATTCATGGTGTCATGCAATTTCACCTCCAGTCATCAGGCGTCATTTATTGACTGCTTTTAAAACCTAAACAATTAATGGTTTAAAATAATTTTATCA